ATATCCGCCCAAGGATCCCTTTGTATAATTCTGTATACGCGGCATGAGGTCGTTCGGCGGGCCCGAGCCCAGCCCAAAAAGCGTCGTGGCTGGCAGGATCATAGGCCCGTGCACTGCAGCTGCAACCAAAAGGCATAAAGTGTGTTGTGCAAACGAAGATCGAACGAATGGGCCCGAATGGGACTGACACAGCATGGACGGATTGAGGATTTTGGTGGATTTTGTACTCCAGACCTTCGTCCACCGACAGACATAGACCGATGCAGTCTGTGCCTACGTCCTATACCTCACCGCTACAGATGGGCCGGGACGCGAAGGCTCAGAACCGCGATGAGGCCTCCGGAGTGCAGCAGGCGTGGCCCACGGAGGCGCGTGCACGCACGAGGAGGTGAAGGAAGGAGGCAGCTTCAGCGTCCCAACGGCCAACCTCCAGCCCAAACACGACCAACATCGACCAAGCCGCACATCCTTCCGCGCTCAAACTCAGGATGAAAGGGTCAAGGACGAGTCGGTCATCAACGGGCCTGACAACCCCAAAACCCTGATCATCAGGTCTCATATAGGATGATTCTGCGCGCGCTTGTGCATAGCTGCGAAACGGATCTGACGTGAGTGGCATCGACTGCGAGCTAAATCCGTGCCACAACAGTCGGCCTTTGCAAACGACCTCACTGCGCCGAGCGTCGTGGATCATCAGCACAATCCAAGTCCGGAGGCCGACAAAGCAACGTTGCGACCGACCAGAGTTCGGGCCTCCTTGAAGGCCTTTGCAATAGCTCGTTTAACCGGACCGGCGCACCTGACGTGGCACAGGCGGCACGGCGGTCGCCGAATGCATCCAGTAGCATCCAGCGCGCAAGAGCAAATGCATGGGCACTGCGTGGGCCAAGCGGCCCGGCCTGTGAGAGCAGCAGCGCACGAGAGGCGCTTGCCAAACCAAGTGCATCTCGAGGCGCGCACGCGCGCGCGCGTGCATCAGACGCAATAAAATTGGATGAGCTCAGCTGTGATTTTTTACGGCGGACCTCAACGCTGGCTACCACAAGGCGGCACATCGTGCGCTGCCGAGCTCTGGCCAAGCGATGGCAAGGAATGGGTTTCCGGATAACAGTATAGCGAAACTACATGAACATGTACAAGAAACGAGGCATGTTGTGTTGCGCAGAAATACTGGCAAGACGGACTGATTTGGCACTTGACAGTGCCACGTCAATTGGCACCGAACCGCAAGACGTCCTTCCTTTGGCCGGGCTCAGTTTTGCTCTGGCCCAGCACATGCCTCGACACGTGTATAGTGTACCTATAGTCTCGATTGTAGTTCCTTGTTTGTGTAACCAATTATTTATTAAGGATTTCGTAAGATATCCCCAAAAAGGAACTACAATGGAGACTATAGGTGCACAGCTCAGCTGACCAACATTCTCGACGCGTCCTCTTCTGACCAACATAGCCGCGTTCCAGGCGTTTGCAGCCGCAGGGTGCATCTGTGTTTCAAGTGGCAAAACAGGAGCTTTAGGAATGAGGGCTTCGGATCTGCAGTTCCGATGCAATCCAAACCCGTAAACCCTTGAAATCTACGCGTTCAACTCCCAGCCATGCGTCCTGATACAGCTTCTGCGGATGACCCCTGAAGCCTGAACTTCAAACCCTACCAGCGCGCCGATTGAAATCCCATACACTCCCCTGCAAAACACTCATGACAGATGCGGGCTCACCTTTTTCATCCGACCTCTTTAGAGGACTACGCGAAAGCTCTGTTGCTCGACCTCCTCCAAGGCGCAGAGCTACCTCCGAGCCATGGACTTTTTGCTCCAGTCCGAAGATTGACAGGTTGGTTTCTCTGTGGAAACGAAGGGGTTAGAGGGGGGGGCCGAAGAAAAGCACGGATCCTAATTGGTGCGAGCATCGGGAGTTTGCGGTCTGGGACCCTATAGGATTTAAAGTTATGGCTCAAGCTTAGGGTCTAGTGCTAGTCGGTCACGCTCAGTCTGGTTGATCACGTTCAGATAGCTGTGATTCTGGGCTTCCTGCAGCATCACACCATCTCTGCATGCTATCCGGCCTCTAGCATGGACGGGATGGAGCCCATAGCAAACGTTTTCAGCCTATCTTCTCCCGAACTGCTGCCCCCGCTGTCGGATGGCGCTGCGGAACCATCACACCGAAAGCAACAAGCATCAGCCAGTGACCCTCAGCCTGAACGTCCTACGTACATCAGGAAATCACACACATACCCTGAACCCTAAACCCTAAACCCTCAACCCTAAAGCCCCAAACCCCAAACCCTAAACCCTCAACCCTAAACCCTAAACCCATTCTTGTCTACCCACATGCTCCGAAGTCCGGAAACCCCGAGACCGAAAGCCCCAAAGCGAGACCGAAAGCCC